AGCTTTATTTGTGAATTTTTCTCCAGAGAGGTAAATGCTACAAGGAAGTAGCAAAAAAGATACTTGTAGTAAAAAGAGATGTCTACGTGGTGAGACTCACCTCTAAATTAAGATGGCTAAAAGTTTCCAGAATCAAATGATAAATAAAAAGCTGAAAATCCTCAACACGTCATAGAAGGTCTGAGTAACTTATGTGAAGTATATAAAGATGAGATGCAAAGATCATTAAGTGATGTTAATCAAAATTTTAAGGTCAAAGTTCAATAAAGCATTCATTTAAATCATTAGAGTCTCAAAAGTTATTGACCCACTCTTGGGAACATCTACAAGGGCTGACTTAGTGGACAAAAAAGTGTCCCTTTCCCCAGATATTATACAAAATTTAAAAATACCAGAACAGATTGGTGCAGTTGACTTCTTGGTGTTGATAAACCCACTTGGAGTCTACTCCCATGTAGACAGAGGGATTAAAGGGGCAGTGCAGTTGCTAATCCAGATGGCCATGGGTGTCTCCTAAGCAACCAAGAATGCTTTGGGGTTAGTGTCATGTGACCCTGTTCTTTAACCAGAAGGATCACAGTCTGTAGGATCACTGTCCTAGACTATCACAAACCAGTGCTCCCAAAGGAAAATCAAACTTATTTTGAGAATTTATTTCAACCTGAGCTGTGAACCAAGTCTGAACCTCTATAGGCTAAGGATACAACTTAGGCTTTTAAAATATCATCAATTTTGATGATATATGACAATAGCCCAGAAAGTGAATTGATTTTTTTCCAGGGGACTATAATATAAATATTTACATTTTCACTGAATTAATTTGTACTTGTAGATTATTCTGTAATTTGCATGTCACTATTTACAATGAAACAAGCATTTAAGCTCAAAGCAGCTCTAAAGAACATTGCTTGTGACAGACCCCATAGGGATGCTGTGATAGGGAGAGGACAATAAGGCAGTTGAGGGATGGGACCTCTGGGTGAGTCTATTGGGCAATAGTAAGGGGCAGTGTCTGTGCCTAAGTA